GGAAAAGAACCTAAATATAGTCATATATTCTTGAAAAGAATATATAAAGATCTGTCATAACTCAACAGTAAAATAACCCAATTAAGAAATGGGCAAAGGACTTGAACCTTTACCAAAATGTATATATGTAAGTCAAAGAAGCATGTTAAACAACATCAGTCATTGGGGAAATGCAAATTAAAACCACAATGAGATACCAGTATCTATCTGTAAGAAGGGCTAAAATTTAAAAAGCACTGACCACACCATGAGCAGTAGATGTGAAACAATGGGTACTGTCATAAATTGCTGATGGTAATGCAATATGAGTCAGCCACTCTAGAAGACAGTTGGTCAATTTCTTACAATGTTAAATGTACATATTATATGGCCATTAATCCTACTCCTAGTATATACTCTAGAGGGCTATAAACTATGTTCACAAAGAAATGCTGTATCAAATATTTATTCATGACCACCAGAAATTGGAAACAATGCAAATATCCTTCAACAGTTGAATGAATAAACAAATTTGGGTACATACTTAAAATAAAATACTACTCAGCAATAAAAAGAAACGAAGTATTGATACACATAATAATTTCAAAAAGCATTGTTTCAAAAGCACTGTGCTAAGCGAAAGTAGCCGGACTCAAAGGTTACAGCCTGTGTGATTACATTTATGACACTATCAAAAGGATAAAATGCTAGTAACAGACACTAAATCAGTGATGCCAGGGGCTAGGAGTAAGGAGGAGGGTAAGACTAAAGGGATAGCACAATGGAGTGTTCTGGGGTGATGGAACTATTCCAGATCCTGACTGTAGGGGTGGTGCTATGAATCTACACATGTGTTAAAATTTGTAGTACTGCACACCAAAAAGAAAGAAAGAAAGAAGAAAGAAAGAAAGAGAGAGAGAAAGGAAGGAAGGAAGGAAGGAAGGAAGGAAGGAAGGAAGGAAGGAAGGAAGGAAGGAAGGAAGGAAGGGAGGAAGGAAGAAAGAAATGCCAATTGTATGTTCATTCAAATAATAAAATTTAAAAAGTAGTGGAATGTATTAGGCACACTGCTGCCTATATAGGGGAGTGCAGGGTGAAGATGAGTATAATTCAACCAAGTAGAAAGGAGTTCTTTTAGGGAATGGGCAGAACGGGTGTTCAATACACAACCAGCAGTGACCATGATAAGCATAAACTAAAGGACAAATTAATGTAAGAAAGTGGCTTAGATCTGTTAGAAATTCAGTGATGGATAATTCTAGATTAAACTGAGATGTGTGAAAAATAAACTTCGCTTACTTTTTTGTTATTTGGAGCAAATATAAGGAAGCAACAAGCCCTCTGTTAAGGACAGATGGTGTAAGATTAGATGACAGACAGCATTGTCTACCTAATTGCTTTTATGCCTCTATTTTATCTGTCAAGGAGATGACCTGATATAAATTAAAATGGTGAGTTCTGAAAACAGAATGTACTATATAACTCCACTAGAGTTAAATATATGTGGATATAGAAATAGATATATGGATATATAGACACACACATATGTGCATAAAAATAATATGAGAAGGGCATACACTTGAAATGTTAACAATTGTTATTTCTAGATGTAGGAGTCTCATTTTCTTTTTGCTATGCATTGTATTTCCTGAATATTCTGCAAGGCACACTTACCATTTCTAAAATAAAACAGAACAAATAAGTGATTTTAAAATGAAAAATAGTGTAAAAAAACTTTAAGAAAAAGAAGCCCCAGGTGAGTAGTTTCTCAAAGAACATATAGATTTTATAAGAGTTACAATTTAATACACCCCAAAGCACTGAAAGAACTTTTGGAGAACAGAAGATATGCAAAAGTTCCAATCTTTAAAAAAAAAAAATCACCTTCTGAAAACAGCAGCCATATTGTACACCTAATTATTGAAAGAACAGATTTGGAGAATTTAGAGAAGAAATGCCACTAGGATGCCAGCTTAGGCTCACTAGAACTGTCATAACAAGAAGTGGTGGCTGCTATGTCCTCAGACTTGATCTGTTCAACATTTTTTTTTTTTCCTCTTCCTGGTGATAGACTCTTGATGTTATTTTGGGAAACTATTTTGGATATTTAATAGACTCCTAGAGCTTACCCTGGCCAATAGTTAACACAACTTTTCTCCTAAAACCTGGTTCTCCCAGTATCTTTTCCATCTCAGGAAGTAGCAATTGCAGCCTTCCAGGGGTCATTCCTGACATTGTCGTCTTCCTCATATTCCACCTTCAAACCCATCGGCAAAAGCTGTTCTTTTTAACTTTAAAATACATCAAGATCTGACCACTTTCTGCTACTTCCACCCACATCCACTACCACTCACCATCTTTTCTCACCTGGGTTATTACAATGGCCTGTAAGTGAAATTCCTACTTGTAGTTTTGGCCACTAACACTCTATTTTTTTAAAAAAACACTAGTTAGGCCATGTCACTCCTATGACTCTATTTCACTCAGAATAAAAACCAAGGTTCTTACCATGGCCTTCAAGGCCCCTAATGAAATGCTTTGCTGTCTTCTCTTCTTCCTTCTCTCCCCTCCCCTCCCCTCCCCTCCCTTCCCCTCCTCTCTCCTCTCCTTTCCTCTCCTCTCCCCTCTCCTCTCCTCTCCCCTCCCCTCCCCTCCCCTCCCCTCCCCTCCCTTCCCCTCCTCCCTCCCCTCCCCTCCCTTCCCCTCCTCTCTCCTCTCCTCTCCTCTCCTCTCCCCTCCCCTCCCCTCCCCTCCCCTCCCCTCCTCCCTTCTTCTTCTTCTTCTTCTTCTTCTTCTTCTTCTTCTTCTTCTTCTTCTTCTTCTTCTTCTTCTCTCTCTCTCTCTCTCTCTCTCTCTCTCTCTCTCTCTCTCTCTCTCTCTCTCCCTCTCCCTCTCCCTCTCCCTCTCTCATCTCCACTTGGCTGTAGCCACGACCTTGAACCAGACATATCCAGTTCTTCCTCAGGGCCTTTGCTCTTACTCTTTCCTCTCTCTGGAATGTTCTGCTTCTAGATAAATGCCCACAGAGCTGGGGAGGCCATATATCCTGGTTTTCCCAAGTGGGTCCCCATTTGTGCCTGCTATCCCAAAACAGGAACAATCATCAAGTATCCCCATTTGGCTGATAAATCAGATGGTTGCCCTATTTGTGGGTCTCTGCATCATCTCTCAGGCTGCTCAGTCTCAACTTCTCCCTGAGGACTCTGACACCTGATTTAAAATTATAGCCCCACTTACCTTCTTTCTTTGTTTTGTTTGAGGGGGGGGGGGGGTTCTATGGCTCTTTTCACCTGATACACTCTATTACTTTCTTACTTACTATGTTTATGGTCTGTATTCTGCCAGTACGTATGCAAGCTCCATGAAAACAGACATCTTGCATGTTTTATTTTCAATATCATAGCCCAGCACCTAGAACAGTGTCTAGTCCAAAGCAGTTCTCAATAAATATTTATGGATAAGTGAATGTACAAATGAATGCCTGGAAACTTGTTTTCTCACTAGATATCAAAATAAAATAAAAAATGTATCTTTGGGGGCCTTGAGGAAAAAATAAATATTCTATGAAACATTCCTTGAAGCCACATAATCCAATATGCCTTTTTATCTAATTAAAATGTATTATCCTAGTCTTAAAGGCTGTTAGAGTTTTAATTTAAATATTTTGTTCAAATAAACATACATAATTATATAATATGACAGGATTTCTTTATTCCTTTGGTTGAAAATGATAAAAATTTAACCTGAACTTCCAGAAATAAGGAAAAATAGGAGGGAATGTTTATTGGAAAGATGCTGTGGAGTCTCACAGAAATGCAGGATCAAACCTCAGCAGAGTAGCTTCTGGGATTGTTAGAGCCTCAACACAGGATTTTAATCACAAACAAGATTCTTTCTTCTCTGCTCTGCTCCTGCTGTATTTTGACCTTATTCTCTCATATTGCAAACTGACTGTAGAAGTGCTTTTTCTTCTAGCTCCCAGCTGTAATTTTTTTTTAAAAAAGTTCTTCGACCCCAACTTGAATCACATGCACTATGGAAATAGAGGAGGAGGTACTGCGATGGCTCTCCCACCACCCAGAATCATCACTGTGGTCAGAACTGCTGGTTCCTGCCACTGAAGACGACTCTTCCCATATCAAAATTCACTTTGATACCTTTTTGTTTTTAAAATGCTGCACAATGCTATAGCCTATTCCAAAAATTAATAAACGCTAATATGTTGTTTGTTCTAAATGTGCAAGATTTTTTTCTATACATTAAGACTCTGATTCAGCACTTTTATAAGCTCTTTGCAATTTTACTACCCAGTAGTCGATTTACTTTGCTTTAATAAGACACATTACTGAAATACTATACATCCCATAGTCATAAATACTCTCTTTTTTCACTATGTTAAATAGTGATATATATTTTCAATTTACCTATGGTGAGTGTTAGAATATGGCAGCTATATTTGTATTTCACGATGTAAAGTGAATGATAATATTGCACATGCTGATTTATTTCCTTCTTTTCTATCCACAATGATCTCACTGTGCTATTTCAACTTAAAAATATGAATATTGAGGTACCGGCTGTTTTAATGCTAGGGAATACTTCTTTCCCATGAACCAACAGTGTTACTTATAAGAGGAGAGAGACAGAAAAATAAAGAAAAGATTTCTCAAGGCCACCTAAACCAAATAAACCAACAACAACCGCCAATACTAGTTAAGTTTTGACAACATTGCAAAATTTCTTTTTTAAGGTACAAGATACAGAAATTCCCAGGAAAATAACAAAATCAATTAAAGCACAAATCCTTATAACTAGCATTGTCATTATGATTATCATGTTTTAGACACAAAATCCCTCATCCACATTCCCCATTAAATTTGCTGTATAACTTGTGCAAAGCAAATACTTTAAATTGAACTACAATGTTATGGGTGATATGTAGCTGACAATTTTTTTTTCATCCTGTTTTTTTAATGGGTTTTTCACTTTGAAGGAATCTAACAGATTTTATCTCCTTTTAGAAAAGCATGCATGCCGGGACTGAAGCAGTGACTTATGCTATGACATAATATGTTTTTGACACAAAAAGTACTTGTCAAAAATCAAGATTCGAAAACAGTCATTCTAAGTGTTTTAAGGGGAGCGAGGGAAACCTGGCTTTCATGTCAATAGTACAGCTGACATAAATAATGATGGAAAACTGACAGCTACCAGATATGATTTACCAGTAGATGCTTCAAATCCCTAAAAAATGAAAAGGTAAGAAACATCAATTTTGAATTTTATAGTAATTTTGCTGTAATGTAATTGAACTTCTCATTGTAACAAGTGTCATTATAATTGTATTAGTAATTGGTGAGTCATATCATGAATAACCTGTTTAGCTGAATTCTTGTTTTCATAGTATAGCTGCAGCTCTGCCTCAAAATTGAGTTTGAGTTGGCACTTTGGAAGACTAGATTTAATCTTTCATCTTCCACCTGTCTCTTATGAGTAATTTTATTGTAAAAATACACAAAAGGAAAAATTACAAGGTTAGGTGATGACATGCAGTTTTAACTGGTCGTGGTCCTCAGAAACAGTGACGATGAACTGGGAAGATGTGGCTTTTCTGAAGCCTAGAGGAAAGACAGCGTGCTTTCATACAACTGCAGAGAAATGTTTGTTCTAAAAAACGACTCCAGGGAAATCATGCCATTGCAACATATTTTCCTCAAAAGACTCATCCTCTGCTCTGGGACTTCAAAACTTCCCATTTGTACATATTGACTGCTTCATTCTGGTGTAATCTATGTGCTCTCTCACTCCGGTTCATTTTTACAGGACAAGCTGTAGGTAGGAATCAGTAGAAAGGGCTTTCTCTCTTTCTCTTGACCACTGCCCACCCAGGCACACAAAATGCCAACATTTTATCGGATCTACTATCATAAAGCTATGATTGTATGCTAAGACTTTTACCTTCATTTTAGAAATAGACTAACTTTATCCAAGCCTTCCTGGTTTGGGCCAGCTATAATGTGCTAACATGAAGCACAAATACCCCGGCTTTGTTGTACACTCACTTGAATGCCTTTGCCTTTTCAAAAGAACTTTGCCATCCATAACATAGGCTAGCTAGGTGCTCTCACCAAATCCATCTATCCTCCTTTCTGAGTTTGCAACTCTCTCTCATTTCCTAGCCTTTCTTGAAGCTAGCAGCGACCATGTGACTGAGTTCTAGCCAATAGAAAGAATGTGACTTCCAGATTGCGTGCATAGCAAGCTTGCATGCCCAACTGACCATTTTTCTTCTGCATCTGTCAGCTGAATGGAGAGGTCCCTGAGAACACAGAGGAAGGTAGAGCCAGGATACTAGGTTGGGACCGAGTTGAGTCCATAACTGAGCCTCTGGAATTACTGTTCAAATGCCAAGCATGTGGGAAACTATCATTGTGTTAAACCAGTGGTCGGCAAACTGCGGCCCCTTGAGTGTGGCTCTTCCACAAAATACCACGTGCGGGCGTGCACGTACAGTGCGATTGAAACTTCGTGGCCCATGCACAGAAGTCGGTTTTAGGCCTGGGCGAGTCTATTTTGAAGTGGATTAGAAGAAGTGGGGGGTGTGGGTTGGTGGGGCAACGGGAGACATGGCCAGCGCAGGTGGGGCCGCGGATATGCAGTGCAGGGGAGGCGCGAGCAATTCATGCACGGGTTGAGTGAGCCAGTCAGTCAGCAGTCTCATTGTGCAGTGGTTAGTGCTAGTCGCGTCCGCAAATCCCACTCGGGTAACAAAAGTACCTACTCGAAGCATAAAGTTACCTGTATTTTTCCAACCAGCTGTAAATCCTACCTGTATTTTTGTTATCAATTTAAGAATTGTAATTATTTTGTGTTGGTGGCTTTATTATTATAAAATGAAACATTTTTAGCAAAGGCCAGCTTAGGAGTACCCTAACTAAGTTAATAACAATGTACCTACCTATATGGTTTAAGTCTAAAAAATTTGGCTCTCAAAAGAAATTTCAATCGTTGTACTGTTGATATTTGGCTCTGTTGACTAATGAGTTCGCCAACCACTGGTTTAAGCCATGACTCCGTTTTCTCATGTATAAAACGAGATAATAGTACCTATCTCATATAGTTAATATTTATAAAGTGTTTGAAACAGTGACTGGCACATAGTAGCCACTGTGATTGTGCATATGAGACAAATAAAATAAACCTCGTATACCCAAAATGTGTCAGCAAACTACCCTTATCAAGAATGTGACAGTTTCAGTATCGTCTGCTGCTTCCAGAGGATGCTTGAATTCTCCAGAGACATTCTTCCCTGTGACCAGGAGCCCAGGTTACATAATGTTGAAAATTCCATCTGCTGAGGCTTCTTTCTGATGAGTCAGACGACCTGGATTTGAATTCTTGTTCCACCATCTAAGGCCTTGGGCACTCTGCCATACACTGGGTGTCCATTCCCTCATCAGTACAATGGGGATATAACAGTATTTAGCTCTGCAGAGTTAGAAGCATTATAGTAGTTGCTCTATAAAAAACATTTCAATAAATACTGCATTATAAATATTTAATACATGTTAGTTATTCTTAATTTGGGCAAACAATTTGAGGAATTGTCACTCTTAGCTCTAACAGAATACTCCTAAAAGATCCTTTGCCATTTATTTCATTTGTACAATTTCCATATTGAAAAAAACTCCAATTATTTGATTTTAATGTATATAATTTATACTTCAAAAGCTGTCACTGTTTCTCCGGTTTAACTTCTGGTGATAAGGAAATCTTAATGACTTTTTGTGTTTTATAAAATCAAGCTTCCCATGACAATGATAAAGTTAAATGTGTATGTTTAAGAAAAAGAGTGTATTGTAACTTAAAAGTATTAGTTACCTAAATTCACCAGAAGGTAACCTTCTCTGACCCATTTAAGGCAAAGTAGACCTTTTAAAAGAGCAGCTAAAACCAGCAGAAATGAAGCTGGAGCATTTCTCTCCTCCACTACCACAAATCTCTTTAACTTTTATTTTCATTTTGTTCTGCTTTATCAGTAAAATGCAAATCATGAAAATCATAAAAATGATTCCTATTATTATGTCTGTGTTAGCTTCTCTTTATTTTTTGTAAATAATGTTTCTACCTTCTATTTACTAACAGTATTTCTGGTATTAGTAAAAAAAGAGCCCTCAGATCACATTCAATTCAATAGCAATTTAATTTAAAAGATAAGAGATGTGGATTGTGTGCAATACTAAGCCACAATGTGTGTAACTTTTACATGAAAATAACCTTAATTTTCCTGCTTGACTGAGAAAAGAAATGAAAAAAAAATGTTTGCTATAAATCAGGGAAATTTCATAACTTGCTGAAGGTGTAACAGCTGTTGATTTAAGGTTTGCATCTTTGATAACATGATGCTGCTGGGAAGATAACATCTTTCTGACAAAGCTGTGAACATAAAAATTACAAGGCTTACTCAACATTTAAATATTTTCTCTGTATCACTTACTGAAAAAAGTTATTTTATTCGCATATACTAAAATATGTTTGAAGTATATTGTATCTCATCAGAAAGCCTTAAAATAAAATTTAGTGTTCTTGTTCCATAGGTATATAGTAGACTTGTCACATCACAAATAAACATAAATTGCCTTCAGTTCAGAGAAATGATCTACTATTATTATGTACAAGTAGTTCCTACAACTGGCAATACAAACACAGACCTGAGCATACACTTGGAATGTTTTTCATTTCTTTTATTATCAGCTGGAAGTAGGTGATTGAAAAATTAGATGACAAAACAAAGCAAATACTGCATTGACTGGGGAAAAAATATCTGCAAAGTGGAATCTTAAAAATGTGTAAGAGAATAACTCCCAAACAGAAACCATAGTGGTGTTTTAATTTACCTAAGGGCGGCTGCATTATTGCACATGTTCTTGCAATGTTGACTCACAGACTATGAAAATTTAGGGTGAGGTTTTGTGTTTCCTGCATATCAGTGAAATGCAGTAAAAACATCACCAAGGAACTGCTGAGAATGACACTAGTAATGGCCTTGTCTCCTTACTCTTCAATGAAAATCAATGTGCTTCCTTTCTTCTATGAATTGTACTTATATTAGAAAGTCAGATTGCTTCTTTTTTTCTTTCTTTATTGATTAAGGTAGTACATATGTGTCCTTATGTAATTACATATCTGTCCATTGCCGCCCACCCCCCCACTCATGCCCTCACTCCCGTATTGTCTGTGTCCATTGGTTAAGCTTATATGTATGCATACAAGTCCTTTGGTTAATCTCTCTCCCTTATCCCTCTCCTACCTTCCCTCTGAGGTATGACGGTCTGATCGATGCTTCTCTGTCTCTGGATCTGTTTTTGTTCATCAGTTTATGTTGTTCATTATATTCCATAAATGAGTGAGATCATGTGATATTTATCTTTCTCTGACTGGCTTATTTCACTTAGCATAATGCTCTCCAGTTCCATCCATGCTGTTGCAAATGGTAAGAACTCCTTCTTTTTTACTGCACCATAGTATTCCATTGTGTAGATGTACCACAGTTTTTTAATCCACTCATCTGCTGATGGGCACTTAGGCTGTTTCCAGATCTTAGCTATGGTAAATTGTGCTGCTATGAACATGGGGGTGCATATATTCTTTCTAATTGGTGTTTCTAGTTTCTTGGGATATATTCCTAGAAGTGGGGTCACTGGTCAAATGGGAGTTCCATTTTTAGTTTTTTAAGGAAACTCCATACTGTTCTCCACAGTTGTTGCACCAGTCTGCATTCCCACCAGCAGTGCACGAGTGTTCCCTTTTCTCTCCATCCTCGCCAGCACTTGTCGTTTGTTGATTTGTTGATGATAGCCATTCTGACAGGTGTGAGATGGTACCACATTGTCATTTTGATTTGTATCTCTCGGATGATTAGTGACTTTGAGCATGTTTTCATATGTCTTTTGGCTTTCCTTATGTCTTCTTTCGAAAAGTATCAATTTAGGTCCGTTGCCCATATTTTGATTGAGTTGTTTATCTTCATTTTGTTAAGTTATATGAGTTCCCTGTAAATGCTGGAGATTAAACCCTTATCAATGATAACATTAGCAAATACATTCTCCCATGCAGTGGGCTTTCTTGTTGTCTTGTTGATGCTTCTTATTATTGTTTTTCTTTAAATGTTTCTGTCTTTTAACTAAGACTATCTTGCAGTGTCATTGTAACCCATAGTTACCTTAACCCTCTAGTCATCTGAGGTCACTTTTTTCTAATATTCAGGTAAAATGATTGAATTACCCATACCACATGCTTGGGGAAATCCAACTCCATCTTTGTCCCCTTGAGAAATGGGATGGAGTTGCCTCCAGTTCTCCTAGATACATCTTATTCTTCAATTTTGCTATGAATTCTTGCTCTTGCTCCCACCAGTGATTTCTCCTCCTCACATACCACCTGCTCTCTACACAATTTCATCCCAAATAAACTCTTCTGGTTCATTGTCCAAAGCACCATAATCCAAGGCTGTGTGTACAACAGAGTGTTATTGGAGGTTTGAAGAGAACATAAGAGAGCTCTAAGTTGAATGTTGAACATCATTGCTCATCCACTTACTCATTCATTCAACAGATATGTATCGAGTACCCAGCATGTGCAGGAACTGTTCAAGATTATGGAGATGCAACAGTAAGTAAAACATTACTTACTGTACAACCACAACTACCCCCACTTTTATAGAGCTTGCATTCTAGTTATGGGAGAGAGATAATAAAACAAACAAGCAAAATGTATGTTAGAGAGTGGTGTTATCAAGAAAAATAAAGCAGGTAAAGTAAAGGGACTGTTGGGAGGGGTGCAATTTTAAGGAAGGTGGTGGAAGAATGATTTAATGTAACAGTGCTATTTAGATAAAGATCTGAAGGAAACATGGGAGGAAGCCATGGAGATAAGTTTGTAAAGAGTGCCCAGGAAGAGGGAATAGCAAATGCAGAGGTTCTGAGGTGGGAGCTTCCCTAGAACCTTATAGGTAGAGCAGAGGATACTGGGACAAAGTTCTTAAATTTCTCACTACCAGACTCTTCTCTGCATTCCAGAGTCTTGAATTAACTCAATTTCTTTATTTTCTGTTTCTTGAAGCTCTCACATCTGGGGCCTCACTACTGTCCCAGAAGTGCACCTTTAATATGCAAATCACCAATCCAGAGCTCAAACTCAGACCAGGAGGCAATATTCCTCTGCCCTGAGTACCCTGGGCCAGCTACTAAACTAAGGACGGCCCGTATAGTGCAGAGCCTGCCAAAACTGTTCCCACTATTCAATCCAAGGCCTGCTCAGCTGCTTACCTGCCTCACCCATATATTCCATGGAAAATCACAATAAAGGCTCTTACCCATGCTTTCCCCTTGCTTCTGTTGCCTACTCACTGGCTCCACTGCTTCTCATGTGGCACTACATGGCATTGCAGCCCTCTCTCTTGGGAGCTTTAACAAACTATCTTTTCAATGGCAATCAGCTCCTGATCTGTTGGCCTCACCATATCTGAGTAAAACCAAAATTTCAGTTATATTTCAAAGAAAAATCATGGACAACTCACAAATTCTTTTTATTCCTCAGTAGATAAATAGCAATAGTTTTGTTTCCAGTAATGGCTCCCATTCAGACTAGGTATTGAGGTCTACCTTGGCACAACTAACAGACACATCAATTAGCTTTCCTACACAAAATAAAAGTCCTCCCTATAGCACAAAAATTCAACTCCACGTCTGATTATATAATCATAACCCCCTGTCCACCATTCCATAGCCTCATTCTAATTGCCAACCCCATTTAACACTTTAATGTAAGTGGTACCTCCTGAGTCACATGTAACTCACTACCTTCATTGTGAACAGCGTGTTCACTAAGGAAGTGATCAAGTGTTCAGAAGATCTTGTGCCCTAAAAAAACTAGTAGTTGGTTTGTTTGGTCGGTTGGTTGGTTGGTTGGTTGGTTGGTTTTTTTAGGGGTAACCATAAAGATCATAAAAATTGGTTTACCTGGAAATCCTGTGTTCTGCATTGTCTGGACTCTAAGCAAACCACCTGTCTGGTTTGAAAAGACAGAGGCATCTAAGTCAAGAATGACTTCATGGGCCACTCTTATCTTTGGTTGAAAACTGAATGAGTTGGATTTCCCAAACTGTTGTGCAACAGAACTGTCATTAAACTTGATGTTTCTCCAAAAGGAGGGCTTCCTTGGACAAGTAAATTTTGTAAATACTGCATAATGTATCCCACCTCTGTGAACTTGGAGATTGACTATGCAATATGACTGTGTGATTTGAATGATAGATAAATAGATAGATAGAAAGATAGATGATAGATGATAGATAGATAGATAGATAGATAGATAGATAGATAGATAGATAGATAGATGAATCATAGGCCAGTAAAAACCTGATCTCAAATTAGGGACCATCTCAATGACTAGTCAAACATGAAATGTTTGTTGGTGTTTCCATATCTCCCTTTTTAATTTTCATGCTTGTTCTTGGTTGTCAAAAAGACATATTTATGTACATTTAATTTTTTTCTCAAAAGACAGTTAAAACTCTAAATCAGCTAAAATTCTGCCTAGTATGTGAATTAATTCTATAGAAGCAACAGAGTTCTGACTTCCAAGTTTTGATAAATGCCCAAATCCCAAAAATGACAATATCATTTCTGTTACCCATTTTCTTTGCACAATTTATGTTAATTCTTGGTCCTAAAATAATCCCAGTGTGTTGTTTTTCAATTACATTTGTGTAGAGTGATGAAAACAGAATCGTGATTCATAGTAACAGTATGTTTGCCTTAAAAAGAGTTTTGTGCTCCTGGAGGGAAAAGACTGCATATCTGTTTAACACATTACCATATTTTCTGGTTTAGAAGTTTTAGCAGTTTATAAAGCAGAGGTAACTTTTATAAGCATATGTTAGGGATTGCAGGGAATTGTACAGCAAGGAGAGTAGAGGGAAAACTCATCTCCCTATCCTGACAAGTTCAATAAGTCTTTCTGCTAGGATGGCCTGAAAGCTTGTACAATCAGCCACTCTGAGGAAAGCAGAGGGCTCTGAGCGGGGAGCTCTGGAATCTGTTAGAATATCACTATACTACAGCACCAGAGGATTTCACAGTTAGTGGAAGCTACTGAAAATTGTGGCCAGTTATCCTGAATGAGATGCATTTTGGGTGTGTTGTTAACCAACTTACTTCTATATACAGCTTTTATTTGATTGTGTGAACTTTCATGTTCTGAATTGGATCTAATGTGATTGATATATTGCAAAACAGATTATCAGTTATATCAGGATCATGTGTAGGTGCCAAGACACTCATGTAAGAAAAAAATTGAAGCAACTGTTAGAACAGCTGCTTTCTTTATAACAGTAGGGATAATGAGGATGATAAGAATGTATGGGAGCACTGTGCTAAAGATAGGGTTAATGGTAATCCTATATAATAAAGAGCTAATATGCCAATAGTCATCATGCCCTCAGGCTGTCATGCCATAATGGCTCAAACAGTCAACACTGGGGAGAGAGGAATGGGGACCAGCCAGGCATAAATGAGCTCCTGAGAGAGGAATGGGGACCAGCCAGGCTGTGGCCCAGGAAGGGGACAAGCCGCCTGCCCCGTGGTCCCCTGAAGCTGCAGCTGGTCCAGGCAAAGCAGGTCCAGGTCCTGGGTGCCTGTGGCCAGCCAGAGGAAGGGAAGCCCGGGTCCCAGGTGCCTGCGACTGGCCAGAGGAGGGAATCCTGGGTCCTGGGTACAGGGCAAGGCAGAGGCGGTTAGGGACGATCAGGCAGGCAGCCAGGCGAGCAGTTGGGAGCCAGCAGTCCCGGATTGCAAGAGGCAGTCGGACATCCCCCGAGGGGTCCTGGATTGGAGAGGGTACAGGCCAGGCTGAGGGACCCCACCCCCACCCCCACCCAGTGCACGAACATAAAGACCATTATTAATGACCAAAACCTAGATGGGATCTAAGGCAACATTCATTAAACTTCCTCAAGAAAATACAATTTTACTATTGCCATTTTCAAACTCTTTAGGACCTTAGGCCCTTTTTCTCATTGACACAATAGATTTTATAATGCAACCTTTCTTCTTCTTTTTTTTTTTTTTAATCCTCACCTGAGGATATTTTTCCATTGATTTTTAGAGAGAAAAAATCTCTGCATAAACTCTGACCAGGGCCCAGGCAGGGGAGGAGCCTGCAACTGAGGTATGTGCCCTTGATTAGAATTAAACCCGGGACCCTTCGGTCTGCAGGCTGATGCTTTACCCACTGAGCCAAACCAGCTAGAGCTATAACACATTTTGATTACTAAAGATTTTCTAGGAACAAAATCGTCAGGTGGTGGCAGACCAGAGAATCCCTTGCTAGCGCATCTATAAATTGACAGTAACCTGTGTCACTTCTCATATTGCAAAAACATTTTTTCCAGATCCCTCAAAATGAATATTGAATTGTAATATTTGAGAAGGCCATTCTGTTTTTTAAGCTGTATTAGCATCTCATCTCTCTATTCTTTAAATAGTTCTCACTGGTTTTAGGGATTAATTGTTCATCCAGTGCCCATTCAAGAGCTTTCCACCTCTTTTCACAACTTATATATTGCTAATAAATCTCATTCCCCCTTTTTTTAATTAGTTTATTTCAGGCTATTTATTTCAGTGTAAATAGCTAAGCTAATTTTAATTAAAATTTTAAGTAAGCTTTCATAAGGCATAAAGAAAATGGTATAGCAAAGTCCAGATATATTACATCTACTGAATTCCTTTCATCCACTTTGTAATTTAATCAAAGGAATGCAATTGAATATGTCTGACATGATCTGTTCTGTGTAAGCCCATGCTGTTTATCACCCAAGTTTTCACTACTCTCTTGATGTATATATAATACTTTTTTTCTTAATGTCCATTCTTTTATTTTACTAAAATTTGTTAATCATGACCAGGAGTCTGCCTTCCTTCCTTCCTTCCTTCCTTCCTTCCTTCCTTCCTTCCTTCCTTCCTTTCTTCCTTCCTTTCTTCCTTCCTTCCTTCCTTTCTTCCTTCCTTCCTTCCTTCCTTCCTTCTTTCCTTCCTTCCTTTCTTCTTTCCTTCCTTCCTTCCTTCTTTCCTTCCTTCCTTCCTTCCTCCCTTCCTTTCTTCCTTCCTTTCTGAAGTATTTTTAACTTGGTTATTGTTCCCACTATTTTTGAAATACTTTAGTTGCCCCCAATCCCAAGAAATATTTCCCAATGGAAATATAAACACAGTGGGTAATTTTCCTGACAAATAAAGGTGCTTTATTTAAGCCAAATGTGCTTAATTGCTATGTTCCATGTGTTCATTTTTAGCCTATTGTGTTCAAATAGCTTATTGATGTTATCATTAATCTTAGGTACCATTCTCATATTTTTAGCTAATTATTCCTTTATAGAATATTAGGAAAAAATCTGTAGTTTCTGAATCACACACCAATTCAATCAGAGGTTATGTCTGTCTTACCACCCCCGCCCCCATGTTAGAGCCCTTTGACTATTTTATACCAACTCCATGCATAGTCAATTATGCCAGCCTCAGCATATTTATATGATGACTCTATTTCTCACTTGGGTACATTTTTTTACAATGGTAAGTCAAACAATTACTAGTTGGCTTCTGGAAATTCACAAATCA